AAAATGTGAAAAGGCAACAGACAGAAGAAATACAAATGGTCATTAAACATGTTTTTCTTTTTTTTTTTTTTTATTTTTTTTTTCAACGTTTATTTATTTTTGGGACAGAGAGAGACAGAGCATGAACGGGGGAGGGGCAGAGAGAGAGGGAGACACAGAATCGGAAACAGGCTCCAGGCTCTGAGCCATCAGCCCAGAGCCCGACGCGGGGCTCAAACTCGCGGAGCGCGAGATCGTGACCTGGCTGAAGTCGGACGCTTAACCCACTGCGCCACCCAGGCACCCCTAAACATGTTTTTAAAAGCTTAATCTCATTCGTAAGAAATGAAGTTAAAACAATGAGATCATTTTCCCTAGCAAATTGGCAAAGACCTAAGGATGATTATGTCCTACTTGAATAAGGAAGCCAAATGGATGTTCTCATACACTATTGGTGGGAGTATGAATTGATACAAACTTTTTCAGCAATTGTTCAACTTCTGTTTTCATTTTAAACATTTATATCCTTTGACACAGCATTTTTATTTCTTAAACCCAAGTAACCCCTCCTGCAAGTGTGCAAGTGATGTTCATTACCCTCTGGCTTGAAGTTGCAAAAAATTAAAAACCATCTAAATGTTCACGGAGGGTGGACTATTTAAATTATAATACACCAAGGGGCGCCTGGGTGGCTCAGTCGGTTAAGCGTCCGACTTCAGCCAGGTCACGATCTCGCGGTCCGTGAGTTCGAGCCCCGCGTCGGGCTCTGGGCTGATGGCTCCGAGCCTGGAGCCTGTTTCCGATTCTGTGTCTCCCTCTCTCTCTGCCCCTCCCCCGTTCATGCTCTGTCTCTCTCTGTCCCAAAAATAAATAAACGTTCAAAAATAGAAAATTAAAAAAAAAATTATAATACACCTTTCTAACGGAATTTTAGATAACCATTACAGAGAATGAGGTAGATCTATATAGAAATATGTCCAAAATATTTGTTAGGTAAGAAAAGCAAGTTTCTCATAATATGTATTAGTGTCTCATTGAGAAGAAAAGATTTGAAGACTGTGAGCCTGTCATCATTTTCCCCATAATTTTTCAGGAATGATCAAATTTTATATGATGAAAATGATTTTTTTATATCATTTTTAAATTATAAATTTAAAATTTATATCAAATTTTATATGATGAAAATGATTTACAAAAGAAGTAATTTTCAAAAGATAAAACTTCTGTCATAAAAATTTCCCATTTTTCATCTTTTATAAAATTTTATCAGCTCCCATAAAATTCTGTCATGTATATACCACAAGTTGTTTAGCCATTCCCCTATTAATTAATAATTTGGCCTATTTCCAAATTTTTGGTATCCTGCAAGATGAAGCAATGAACATTTTCCTAAAATAGAACACTTAAGTTTATGCTCACAAAAGCACCGCATCATGTAGCAGAGGTTGAGGGTTAAAACCAGAGAGAACCCATTAGATGATTCTGAATGTAAAAGGTTAATATTTTCTAACCCTTTTAAACCTTGACAAGACTAGGGATGCCCCACCTAAGAGGCAAAAGAGGGGCCCTTGCTTCCCTGGGCACTCAACTATGCTACCCACTCTGGCTGATAAATTATGAGCAGTATTTGTGGTCCCAGTGTGAAAAAGATCAGGGGCCTTATCCTCAGGATACTCTTCGCAGGGCTCGGTTCCCCAGCTGCCTTCTTCCCATTCCATTCCCTCTCCCCAGGTGAACTCATCCACACCCAGCTAATTGACTCTGAAATTTGTATCTCCTGCCCAGCCTCTGAGTTCTAGCCATGTATATTCAGCTGCCTCTAAATGTCTCCACTTGGATGCCTAAAAAATAGCTCAATATGTCCAAAATAAATCCTGTGAGCCAGAACATGCTCACGCCTTCTTCCCTTTCACTGTCTATATCCTTCCATTACTGAATCCCATTACTTTTCCCCCCTATTAGTTTTGGGTCCATCTAGTTCCCTTTGCCTTCCTGCCACACCCTGCTCCAGGCCACCATCTTTTCTTTGCTGAACACTTCAGTTGCTTCCCAACTAGTGTCCTCATGTTCTCTCCTCCCCCACTGATCTGTTGTCCACATTGTAGCTGGAGGCTCATTGTACGATCACAAGTTAATGCTATCCATCTCTGTGTGTGACCTTTCAATGGTTTCTCTTTCTCCTTGGGCTCAAGACTGGAATTTTTACTGGCCCCTGCCTTGGCAGGCTCCTGCCGTTTCCTGTCTCATTCAGGCTTCTGAGCCCCTTGCATATTGTGTGATTCATAGATGGTACTCTAAGATTTGTTGGGTGGGTGAATGGCTAAACATCTTGTGTTAGGTAATACGTGAATGGCACTCCTATCTAACTGATGATACAATGAGATTTTAGGCTTTTGCTGTTTCAGTGACCTTTTTTTTTTTTTTTAATTTTTTTTTTCAATGTTTATTTATTTTTGGGACAGAGAGAGACAGAGCATGAACGGGGGAGGGGCAGAGAGAGAGGGAGACACAGAATCGGAAACAGGCTCCAGGCTCTGAGCCATCAGCCCAGAGCCCGACGCGGGGCTCGAACTCACAGACCGCGAGATCGTGACCTGGCTGAAGTCGGACGCTTAACCGACTGCGCCACCCAGGCGCCCCAACAGTGACCTTTCAACATTCTTTTACCAATTTAACACAATCAGTCTTGCCTTGAAAAAAAAAATTACAAGTTTATATAAACCCAGACACTCAAAATACAAACCAGTCCTAAATGGTTTTGTTGTGAAATTATGATCATAATATTAAATTTATTCTTTTCGGCCACCTCTTCACCCTTATCCATGTACCAGCTTCTCTTCCTTGGAAGAGAACAGTGAATGATCTTCAGAATATTTGACCACTAGAGACACATTTGCTGTGCACTCCCCTATTCCTGTACATGCAAGGATTGGAAAAAATTCATTGAACTCCTTCTCCATGCACACACTAAAAACCAAACCAAAAAAAATCTTTTGGCAAAATTTTGACGATGCATTTCATAGTGATGTGCACAAAAATGTCCCTTTGCCATAATTCATTTTTTGGGATACTTATTGATTCTCACACAGTTCTTGTTGCAATTGGGGAAGTCTTCTCAGGAAATAATCTACTAGGGGGATTAGCCAGCAATGCAATGCCAGTATATAAAAGAGTGTTTGTCCACTGTAGTGGGTAATGAGCCCATGCTTTGGAAGGAGGTGAGCAGAACTGAGAATCCTGGATTTACCCCTGGGTAACTAAATAATGTTGCTGAGATCCTCGTTCACAGGGTTTGTTCAGGATTAAAATAAGATAATATGGCTAAAGCACTTAGCATCTGGTGAAAATTTAGTGTAGCTGAATTAGCTACTGTCATACTCTTGTGCTCTACAGAAGCTTTTTTCAGGTTATACGGACATGCACACACATAACTCAAATGAGCAGAGAAAAAGCAGTATACCTTGAATAGTATATTGACTGTATGTTTTTAATAACCAATATCAATGTTGTATTTCATTAAAGAATTATTATCTTTCAGATTAAGAAATTAAAATATTTACAGATGAGATGCTTTTATGTCTTGGATTTGCTTCAAAATCTGAAAAAAGATGGATCAGGAATGGAGTAAATGTATACACAAAACAAGATAGGACATGCATTGATAGCACTTATGCTCTGTGACCACTACAGGGATTGTTATATTAGTCTCTGTACTTTTGTATAGATTTGAAATTTTCCATGATAAAAAAAAATTTTTAATAGATTAAAAATAGTTACTGAATAGCCTCTTAGAGTCATTCTTGTTCAAGGAGCCAGCTCACAACTCACCTTCCTTTATTTCTTTTGGAAGAGTCACTGATTCCGGTGATCTAAGCAGAAAGACTCATGTCATTCTGTTTTATGACTCTCAGAATAGCTCATGGTGGAAACAAAATAAATACAAATTCTGAATTTCCTTTGTCCTCAACTACTTGGGATGCTTCTCTGAAACCACTGTGGGCATTTTAAATTTTTTTTTTTTTAATGTTTATTTATTTTTTTGGGACAGAGAGAGACAGAGCACGAACGGGGGAGGGTCAGAGAGAGAGGGAGACACAGAATCAGAAACAGGCTCCAGGCTCCGAGCCATCGGCCCAGAGCCCGACGCGGGGCTCGAACTCACGGACCGCGAGATCGTGACCTGGCTGAAGTCGGACGCTTAACCGACTGCGCCACCCAGGCGCCCCAACTGTGGGCATTTTAAAGTAACCCTGATTATGCAGCAACAACAATGCATAAAGTAACTCTTTCTACCCTTCTATGATTGTGTGACAAAAGTTACAGCTATTAAATACCGGTGCTAGTGACCTAATGAAGGATGAGCCGGTAATTGCGTATTTGGCACTTTGGGATCTGAGCCTCTGCCCTGTATGAACTTGTAATCTTCATTGTGTAGCCTTGTTAAGTTTGGCTGTTGAGTTACATGTTGGCATTGGAGGCTAAGGAACTTCAAAGCCAAAAACTGACCTTTGCATATTTCAAAGTCAGAAGTCATACAATGACTTTTTTTGCTTTTGCTTTTTTTTTTTCTTTACCATCTTTTTTTTTTTAAGTGTTATTTTATTTTGAGGGAGAGATAGCACGAGTAAGAGAGGGACAGAGAGAGGGAGACAGAGAATCCTAAGCAGGCTCTGCACTGTCAGCACTGAAGCCGATGTGGGGCTCAACTCATGAACAGCGAGATCATGACTTGAGCTGAAATCAAGAGTCGGATGCTTAACCAAGTGTGCCACCCAGGTGCCCCATGTTTTCTTTTTTTTTTAAGCGAAGATCATGATTACCCTTAAAATGGAAGCTGACCGTGTCCGTGAATGGCTCTGTAACCTTTGAATCTGTTTGACTAACCCTGTCAATGTTTTACTCTGTCATCTGGGTGCAAGCCATGGAAAAGTATTATGACTGGGTCCTCTCTGCTTTATAATCGTCTTTCCTAAAGTAGCTTCCCTTCTCCAGCTTCACCAAAGCAAAGAATTTGAACTTACATTTCAGGATTCTTCTTCTCCTCCCTCTGGAATCTGTCTCTAAGGGATAAAGCACATCACTTTTTATAAGTTTAATTACCTTGGAACAAGGATCCCAGTGAGGTTTATGAAGCTTCCTTTCTTCCCCTGAAAATAAGACAGGCACTGAGCTGGCTAGGGAAGCTCACTGCTGTCTGTCCGACATGCTTCTGTTTATGTCTTTGGTCAGCGTCTTCTTCCATGACCAAGCTGGAACTAGGGAGGAGTAAGGCTTAGCCCCAGCTAAGGGGGAGACAGGTACACAGACAGAGCCTTCTGGAATACAGTGCAGGGCATGCCGTTATAGGAGCAGGAACTCACTGGGTACTCTGAGGGCAGAGTTGACTCTCTGGGGATATCAGGACAGAACTTACAGAGAAGGTGTGAGATATTTAGGCTGAGGGCAGAACTAATAGCCTGGGATTATATTATGCTCTTAATTGAACGCCCTTGGAATCCCAGTTTGGGGGTTTTGTCTATTAAGTAGCACCTGGTGTAAAACAAGCAATGGCGTTTCTCTCAGGGCTTGTACAGGTCTAAAGAAGGCCTAGAATTAGACTGAAAAGTCAGGATTGAAGTATAACCTGCCTCTGTGGCCTCAGGCATTCTGTGGCAGGGATGCACTGTGCTGTCAGTTCTGTCTTCTGAGCAGTGAGGCTGCGTTCTGGACTTCTGCAGAGGGCATTGTGATGGGCAGCTTACAGAACTGATTGCAAGCACTTGTCTCTCCCTGAACGATTCCTGCTGCCCATGACAGCGACTGAGTAATAAGCAATTAGACCTCTTACCTGGGATGTTAGTCACAAGCTCTCTTGAGCAATCAAAGGTCGGTTCTCCAGACCGTTGTGAGTTTCTGTTAGCACTTGTTCCTGTTACCAAACAAAATCCTTTATGAGTCCTTAGCAGGCATAACAGCTTTAGGAGAATTCAGAAACCCAGTAACCTTGTTTGGCAGTGAGAGAGCATGCTCTAGGCACAGGTCCACAGGGGCCTGGATGACTGGGCTAGAACCTGGTGCTGAAAGAGTTCGCCCCCAGGCTCTGATCCCCCACGGGCTTGCTCTCCCCTGGGGTGGCCGACTGTGATCTCTAACCTTGGCCACTTCTTTTTTTTTTTTAATTTTTAAAAATGTTTTTATTATTTATTTTTGAGAGAGAATGTGAGCGGGGGAGGGGCAGAGAGAGAAGGAGACACAGAATCCGAAGCAGGCTCCAGGCTCTGAGCTGTCAGCACAAGACTGATGAGGGGCTCGAACCCACAACATGTGAGAGGATGACCTGAGCCAAAGTCGGACACTTAACTGAGCCACCCACAAGCCCCTAACCTTGGCCACTTCTAATGTGTGCCATCTGGCTGAGAGGAGCCACACGACCAGGCACTGATAGGGCCTAGAGTCTGAAACCACTCCTGGAATAACAGCTGAGAGAGACCATGCTCTTGGCCGTGACCTTCCTCCCGTGTACAGGACCACAGTCATCCCACCTGCCAACCTGCACCTCGTGATTCCACCTTCAGATATGTCTTGCTTGAGGTGCCCAAGTGGCTCAGTCGATTAAGCGTCCCACTTCTGCTCAGGTCGTGATCTCATGGTCGTGGATTTGAAACCCACATCAGGCTCTGTGCTGACAGCTCAGAGCCTGGAGCCTGCTTTGGATTCTGTGTCTCCCTCTCTCTCTGCCGCACCCCGACCCGCACTCTGTCTCTGTCTCTCGCTCAAAAATAAACAAACATTAAAAAAAATACGTCTTGCTCATATTGTGTGGTGACTATGGGGAAGGAAACCATCTCCACTGATCACAGCCTACTGAAAACAGTTGCTTGTTGGAAAGTAGGATTTTGCATGGAGAAGGCCAGATTCGGTTTAGAGGCAGAAAAGGCTTCCTTTCCTGAAGTGGGCAGCTGCGTGCTTACACAGCTTATGCCCAGGGAGATTGCTGCCAGGAACAGGTGAGCAGAGAGAAGGTCTGGTCTGCATTCCCACTGATCTGTGCCAGGAAAACTCTGCTGCTTTAACCTCATTTATCGGGGATTCCTAGAAAACAGGACTTTGTTTTCATTCCTGGGTATCTCCAGTGACCTCTCTCTGTAAGACCTATGTGGTCACAGTATCAGCTCCCAGGGCACAGCCTGGAAACTGGTCACGCCAGTTCTGTCATCACCAATCTCCTCTGAGCCGAAAGGTGATCCTGGGCTGGACAGAGACCAGTCTGTCCCTCGGGCCACACAGGCCAACACAACTTGATTCCCAGAGCAGAGATAGGTACATAGAGCCATGAGCGCCCTGACACAGCCCACTGTGGGTGTGAAGCTCCAGAATGACAGTCCTGTGCCCGCTGTGAAGATGCCCTGGTGAGGGGACACCATCACGCCTAGGTTTTTATATGTGGGTAGCCTATTCATATGGGACCATCGTCTAGGAGCCCTGAGGCAAATTTTCAGAGTTGGTCTCAAGTTTTTCCTAAGATAACCCAAAGACATTGGTTCCCTTTGAAATGTATGCAGAAAGCTTGCTTGGTGTGGTCTGATCGCCCACCCCATGAGCCAGCCCGCCCAGGTTTGGGGCCCGGCTGCCCTAGAGCACGCTGCTCTTTGTTTCTTTCAGAGATCTCAAACTGGACAACGTCCTGTTGGACCACGAGGGTCACTGTAAACTGGCGGACTTCGGGATGTGCAAGGAGGGGATTTGTAATGGAGTCACCACAGCAACCTTCTGTGGCACACCCGATTATATTGCTCCAGAGGTGAGTACGCTTTGGAAATCCTGAGCAGAGATGCCACGGGCTGCTCTTGCGTGCTGTGGCTCTGGGGGCGCATTGCAAGCTAATGCCTCCGCACTCCCTTATGCCTCATTGGGTGAATGATGGCAGAAAATGCCCTCGGTTCCTATAAATAACAATTTGAATTAAAAATGTTGTTGTAAACCTTGTAGTTGCTTTAGGCATTAGCCCTGAATGAGGACAAAGTGTGCTCTGCTCACAGCTAGTTATTTTCCTCTTTGTCTCTACTCGGTGCTTTGATCCCAGTCCCATTTAGCAGCAGTAAATAAAGTTCCTCAGTCTTCCCTATGCAAGTGAGTGAGCCCAGTATTTTCCTCCCTCTATAGGGATGCAGTGCCAACACCCTTTCTGTTTTGGATCTGCACACGTACCATTACCTAGGCTGAAACAGGCCATAAATGTTTGATCACCTGGATGAGAAGTCCTCTGAGTTGAACCACAGAGAAAACGGACCAGTCTCTAGAGATAGCATGAAATGTGCATTTTTGTTTACTTTGATATTTCCTAATCCAACATTTTCCCTAGTCTTTAAGGACACATTTGTTAATCAGATGTGCAAAGCACTTCTCACATTGCCTTCTTCACACAGATCCTCCAGGAAATGCTCTACGGACCTGCAGTAGATTGGTGGGCAATGGGCGTGTTGCTCTACGAGATGCTGTGTGGTCACGCCCCCTTTGAGGCAGAGAACGAAGATGACCTCTTTGAAGCCATACTGAACGATGAAGTGGTTTACCCAACATGGCTCCATGAAGATGCCACAGGGATCCTGAAATCTGTAAGTCTGGCTTACCTAGCCAGGTTGGGCCGGCTGCATACCAGCTGGCCGTGTGTGCTGCTTGTGTTTTTTCAGTACCTTCCCATAGTAAGCTCCCAGTGCTAACTGCAATATATGTGTTTTTTTTTTAATTTTTTTTTAAATGTTTATTTATTTTTGAGACAGAGACAGAGCATGAGCAGGGAAGGGGCAGAGAGAGAGGGAGACACAGGATGTGAAGCAGGCTCCAGGCTCTGAGCTGTCAGCACAGAGCCCGATGCAGGGCTTGAACTCATGGACTGTGAGATCATGACCTGAGCCGAAGTCGGACGCTTAACCGACTGAGCCACCCAGGCGCCCCTGCAATATATGTTTTAAATTGCAGAATCAAAGAATGAGTTCTCTCGGAATGTTTTCCTCTGTTATGCAATAGTTCTTTCTGGGCCAAATGCAAACGGTTGGTACCATTGTTTGCCACCTATCAAGTATTTCTAACACCTGTGACTTTAGTGTAGGTGAAATGATCCACTTCCTTTATACAGTCAGGACATGCCAGGGTGTTGGGTCACGTGAACGCTATCCCCGGTTTGTTTACATACTGACTGTTTCTGTCTGCAGTGTCCAAGAAGCAGGGTGAAGGGGCCTTTCCCTTCGTGCTGGGTGAAGCCAGGAGAGGTTTTCCAAACTTCTACAGATTCCTTTTGCATTCATATCATTCTTATGAATAATAAGTGAGGTGCCAGGCCCAGATTCAGGTGCAGTGCAGTTAATGTATCATGAAAAGTCTTTTTTGTGTGCATTTAAGGTACCATGTTGGAAGCCTTATTTTGAAGTGAGGAAGAAACTTGGATTTGATGCTTTTATGTTGAAAATAAAAAAGCACACGTAATCTGGATCATTCCTATAACCACATTAGTTGAATTTACAAATCATGTATTATCACTTGCTGTATGCATAGGGGAATAAAGGTGAATAAAAGCTCAGTTCTTCTAGTAGGGAAAAATCAGAACAATCCATTCTCTCTGTTGGATAATTTCTATGGGATAAGAATTACTTTCCTTAAGTTATGTCCTTTTCAGTGATTTGAGGCAAAAAAACAAAATTTGGGAAATATTGGCTATCATGTTGACAGACTTGACTCCTTTTAGAAATCTTCAGTCATATGATCAGTGCCTTTTCAAAAACATTTTTTTTTAATTTTTTTTCAACGTTTTTTATTTATTTTTGGGACAGAGAGAGGCAGAGCATGAACAGGGGAGGGGCAGAGAGAGAGGGAGACACAGAATCGGAAGCAGGCTCCAGGCTCTGAGCCATCAGCCCAGAGCCCGATGCGGGGCTCGAACTCACGGACTGCGAGATCGTGACCTGGCTGAAGTCGGACGCTTAACCGACTGCGCCACCCAGGCGCCCCTCAAAAACATTTTGTATGCCGGTCACTGTGTACTGGCTGAAGGCACGATTGTCCCTGAGAATTCTCCGTATCACTAAAAGCGAAATAATCACAGAAATCCTTTTCAGGCAAATATCGTCAAAGTGAATTGTAATTGGTAACTTGATTCCCAAGGCTAGGTGCCAGTACCCCCCTGATATTGAGGAAACACTAATCTCCTATAGAAATAAAAGTGAAGTCACTTTGGATTCTGCCAAATATCTCCTAACAATGGCATATGTCCGCAAGAACAACTGAGTCGTAGAGTTAGTAGAAGTTTTAGACTGAGGAAACCAAGAATGTGGCTTTTATAATTTTATGAATAAAATACAAAGGAGGGCTTTTCTTTGTGGATTCATGCCCTAAAGTTTAACTTCTGGAAGGGAGCAGCACTTGCTGAGGTTGGCTCCGGCTAACTCTGATGACCTAAGCTACTTTAGCACAACCTGATCATGCTACAGAATCAGGCTTGCTTTGCATTATTACTTTCCCAGGACCATGGTCCATAATCTGGCTCTTAAGGCCTGCTAAACCCCTGTGGCCTACAACCACCATCATTATATTAATGGTTTTTCATAGTGCACATATTTAGTTCAATTTCTGTAGCTGATTTAGCATTATTTTTTAAGTTTTATTTATTTTGAGAGAGAGAGAGAGAGAACATGAGCAGGGGAGGGATAGAGAGAGAGAATCCCAAGCAGGCTCTACCCACTGTCAGCACAGAGCCTGACACAGGGCTCTATCTCATGAACCAGAAGTCATGACCTGAGGTGAAATCAAGAGTCAGACACTCAACCGACTGAGCCACCCAGGCACCCCTGATTCAGCATTTTTAAAATGTAAAAGAAAACCCCAGAGTTTATGATTCAAATGAAAGTACTAGTTCAAAGTATAAAGAAATGTGTC